TATACCAAGTCTGAGCCCACAGTGAAGCAATCGGAAACACCGAAAACCGCCGTCAAAACGGAAACAATGGCATCGGAATCACCCAATACTATAGACGGTAGCGGGACCACAAGATCCGGAAGAAGAGTCCGTTGGCCACGACGTTATTTTCAGACAATTTACTTTTAATTAAACCGATTCCCTAGTAACATTATTACCGTTTTTTGTTCGTTATCTTGTTGAAAACATGACCACATGATTTTGTCAGACTTTTCCGCATACACAAAAAATTTTTCCTCCTTGCACCACGGACTCCCAAATCTTTTATTTCTTAACAATGTTCCGGGCAATACGAATTTAGATGTTTGTTTTTTTAACCTCCGGATATATCATTACTTTGGTAAAGTTGTTTTAGTCTTTCGACTATCATACACTTCATTTTTATATAAACACTCTTCCAATCTGTTTCTCTGGTGTGGTCGTGGGTGCACACTGATGAGGAGACCCGTGTTAGGGTGAAACAGTTGTCCAGTGCTCTCAGGTTCCCAGTATACTTCCAGCTGATGTCAGTCCATGATGAATACCAACTATCTGATTTCGTGAAAAGAAGTGTTCACTCAACTGCTTCGTCCTACCATGGGTCTCCTCAGTAGTGTGCACCCATGACCACACCAGGGATTGGACTCAGGACCGTCAGGTTCCATGACCAGCACGTTACCGCTGAACCATCGGGTCGGAATTCAATGTCACCCAATGTCTTCGTTGAGTATCTGTTCTAACGTTCATCGGTTTTGTTCCACCGGTCACGACTTCTCAGTTCATGATGAATACCAACTTGAAATCAACAAATCCTCAAAAACCCCCAAATTTAAATCAAATAGCCTTTTGCAATGGTGACCAGACTTGTCCATCAAAATGTTAGCCTATATCTACTTATTTTGATAACAACAATATTCTTTTTTATAGATGCTTATGATCATGATGATAACAGTTAAAGTATGAATGATAACAAAGTAGGCGATATCATCTGTAAAATGGTTCATAGGACGCATATAACTCGAAAATTAAAGTAAGATCGATGAAAATAGTGAGTCAGTTGGTCAAGATGAAATCAGTGTTTTCTAAAAAGATTATGACAATTAAATGAATTAACACCGAAAAATAACCAAACTGAAGGCAATTTTAATAACAGTAATAGTGATAATGGAAGGACGCAAAGGTTAAGTGAACAAATGTAGAGAGGAAACTAATGGGGGTGGCGAAATGTTGTGGCCATGATAAAAACAGTAACTGTAAATACTTCTTTCCTACACGTAGATCAGGCTTTAGTGTATGACTAGCTAAGGCATTCACTGTTTTAAGGAGATGAAAACGAAGAAAATGTGGGAGGTTCGTGTTAATTCGGTAAACAATTTTAAACTTATTTTCTCTGTTTGTTGAGTGGTGGAAGCCAGTCAAATGTTCTTGACTAAAACTTCTAATAGACTTTCTTTCACCTTTATAAAACGAAGCTGTGGCATGTTCTCATATACGTGTAGAAAGCATTCTCTAGCTACGGCGAATGTACCTTGGTCCACGAAAGTAATTGAACTGGTAGACGGACATAGAGGCGGCCGGATAAAGCACATAATCTTCTATGGAAATGTAGAACAAATTACGACTGGTATAAGTCAGCTTAAGTCTTGCTACGGAGAACGTCCTATTGATTGATTTACATAGACGATTCTTGAGTATATCTGATACCTGGTCATCTTTAAACTCTAAGTTCATGGACAATGTTTTCTTTTAGACCGAATGAGTAACCACTTTCGTATTTCTTTCTCCTATATTTTTATCAGTGAAACGGCAGGTGTAACCGTTTTTGATAAGCGTGCTTCTTAAAAATCACAGATCAGAATCAATACAATCTTCATGTCAGATTTTCCTTTTTCGATAGCAGAGAGAGAGTCAACCAGATTTATTTTCCCCTTGACTTGCATGCAGCTATCAAAACTAGTTACTTGTCTGCTCCACGTTGCACCTTTGCAGATGGATCTTTTAAGGAATCCACTATTATGTCTGGTGAGCACATCAAGAAAAAGAAGAAATGCTATTCTGTCAGACTTATTTTGGTGAGATCTGGGATTAATTTCATCGAAAGTCGAATTGATAGAAATAATCATTCTGTTGTGCAGTTATGTGTAATTGTATGGATTACTAATACTTAGCTTTTTGAAAGATTCCCTACCTTATTAGGATCTACCATTCTAGATTTGGTCAAGCTTTCGTGCCCTGTTATTTTAATTGACCCCGGTCATCTGCTGTGACCTATGTACTTTACCTCATAGTGGTTTCATGGAATTCGATGAACTAAATTATTTTGTCTAGTGGATACTTCAGAATCTTTTTCCCTACATAGCTTGTTCCTGAGTGAGTTTGTAAGCGCAAAGGGCGACCAAATAACTGCTGTGTTGAAAATCCTTCACAAATTTCCTCAGGTGGCTTCTTTATAAAATAACTATGAAAAACAATTCATTACATAATGTGGGTTCACTGTCTAAGATATTCGAAAAACAAATTAAAATGGAATTTTACACTATCACGCTGCCCAAGTGGTGTATGAAGTTAAGTAAATTTCTGAATGGTGAATACTTGTTTACTCAAGAGTCGAGCACAGAATCCTGTTCCTCCTAGAAATTAAAACATGTGTTTCTTTTTAGATTCCTTGGTTTGATGAACATCAAGATCAGTAACTAATATATTATGAAATTTTTTTGGAAAACGGTACAAAAAGTACTTTATCTCAAACTTAATTTTAGAAATTGATTAATTTTAGGCTATTAGGTTTGATGCAGTGCAATATGGTATAGAAAAGCTATTAGGGACAAGATTTCTGAAACGTATTCAGGTAACTTTTGTTCCATGACATTTAAAAGTAATTGGTAAGTCTAGATGATCGAGGTGAATATATGAGTAATGATTTAATCTCTAATACTGTCAGAAATCTTCAGTGCGTAGAAAGAAATTTCTGCTTACAAGATTCTACACTGCAGATTCATGTAACATCACATCGACACTTACTCTTTCATCTGTTTGTGGAATCGGTAAAACCTTTCCACAATATTAATCATATACAGTGAAGGTTAATGCTTCTGGTTATTATTCGAATATACACTCGCATTGAAAATATGTACTTAAGTGATAATTAACGGAATGAAATTTTGACGCGTGACCACATTTGTTTTTATCAGCATGAAATGTAAAATCCAATAATTGCTAAGGCAACTAACCTTGTAATATTAGCGTGAGATAATTGGACTTGATGATAAAAATATAAACAGGAAACAGAGATTTCATATAAAAATTATTCAGATAGTTAAGAACATTATGAAAATTTGTCAAACTTGAGAGAATGTGAAAAAACAAATAACATATGTAACATGCTGCTTCAAGACTAGTCTCTGACTACTTACTATAAATGTTAACGCATTTGTTTCACTAAGGCAAAACAAAAAGGGAAGTGAAAGAAACACTTTCATTCACCATCAAGGTAGAACTGAACGATGACAAGCTGGATCAAAATAGTTCAACAGACTGACTAACTATTTTAGGGCGTAAATAAGATATATCCGACAAAATTTCTAACGATCTAAGCAATTTTACTGAACCTTTTCAAAAAAGGGCAACATTTAAGAAAAGAAGACCACGATTTATAATTAATTATTCATATTTATAGTGAAAAAAATGACAGTAAATTTTATGACTTATATAACTGATTAGTTAACGCGTAGTACTGGATCATTACAGAAAAATGAGTTGCGCAGCTTCACTGGAGACAATCATTGTATATAGTTCATAAGATTTAAGTCACTTCAGTGGATAAACACAACCTGAAGAGTCAACTATGGTATCATCCTATTGAGAGATTGTATGTGCTATGATATATTACTTCTGACAACAAATAAGACTTAATCACTAGCAGTTCAGCTCCATAAAAAGCAAGCTGACGTTTGTACCCCATCCTACCCAAGCTAGCAGATGCTAACCCAAGAAAAGATAAACAATATAACATCTGAAAAGCTTTCGCTGTTTTAAAGTACGTTTAATATAAACTAATGGTTTCGCTTTTCACAAATAGACAATGTTAGTACACAGAGTAACTATAGAAGTTCTCAACTAGTTGATGGAAGTATTTATTAACTTTTTAAAAACTGTAATCTACTTGATGACTGGCAGAGGAAACCATATCGCACGTTTCGACCTATTGGTAACTCATTATCTAGATTTACCTGCAACTCAGTAAGTGACACTTTTCTCACTGGGACTCGAACTCGGTGCCCAGCTCTTCAAACTGCAGAGCGTTATCCTCAAGGCCACTAGAGTGTGAGAGTCACCACTTGTGCACAGGGTATCAGTTGCTTTTTCATTGATACCTGTAGTTTCCCGTTGCTATACTGGGTCTAATTACCGAAACTCTGTTGTCTACCGATTCCATGACCTCTAATGGTCGAAATGAAGATGCATTTTTCATGTCTGATTTAATTGAAGTGCGCAAAATACACAACAGATTCAGGTTACCATAAACGGAGTGGATAACCAGGAAGAGTATAAGGTTTGAAGGTCATAATTATCACCACTTGCTTTTAAGAAGTATACAGTTACTACCTCCTTTTTATGTAGGTGAAATATTCAGCCGTCTGTGACATGTGTCAAAAGTAAAAGCCTTGCGTATTACTTGGGTTTACATGATAAAAAATTATGTCCAGTGACTGAATATGTTGCGAAAAGTTTAAAGTAAGCCAGTACATACATTTGAAACCTAGAAAGTACGTATTTCCATGTGAATCATATGAGTACATAAAAAAGTGATAATATCCTGGGCTGATTTTTGCCCTTACTGAGAAGAAAAACAAGCCGTAAGTACTAATGTAAAATTTGTGAAGTGATCCTTTATGAATGTGTACATACTGTATTTTGGACAAATGAAGTAAGCTATCATCATTTTTATTTTCAACTATCGTGTGTTTTTACTCCTGTCATAGAATCCTATTTTAGAACAAAAACTTCCAAATGTAACTAAAATAGATAAGTGGTCTGGAAAGGGCGAAGTGAAAATGGTGATAAGTTCAGTCCTAGCGCATCTAGTCAACACAGAGCATCACGCAGATGCTAATAAAGCTTTCAGTGTCATTCACTGTGTTCCAAAAACTACACCACGTGTAGCTCACCAACGCCTGCTGAAGATGGCGGCGGCTGTCGCAATGAGGTTGGTCTTATTCTTTATCTCTTTGTTTCACCATCATATCATTCTTCTTTATATGTATCATCCCATTATAGACTAGTTTAAAAAGATAAATATACTTCCTAACAATCTCTTGATCCCACTTCATTTCGAAAATGTAACTGCCCATAACATGGCTTGTTTTTATGTTTTACAAATGCATTTTATAGTTGTAGAACCTGAAGAGAATTTATTGAAAAGAATATTCTTCTTTCAGATTGTTGCTTTTTATAAGTGGAAACCACCATAATATTAGAAGAGGATCACTTGTACCATAAAAACTCCTGCTGGAGATCAAAATCCATTCATTCTGACACCTATCTGAACACAGTATGAAAAATAAAACGTGAAATTAAGAGCTGGTGTAGAGACTTAAAGAATGTGGAGTGTACGAAGAAAAATAGAAAAAGCCTCCTGATTGTTTTCTCACGCCACGGTTCACTCAATAACCGTGAAAGGGGTAAAAACCCTGACAAAAGTATGTGAGCTTCAGTGTGCAAAACTGGTATGACAGTTTTCAGCATGAAGCGGACTTTTCACAAAGACTTTCCCTACCACATATACAGTAGATTTAAGTACCAACTTCCTGCAGAAGAAGCTAGAGAAAGCCGTGACCAAGGATAAAAAATCTGGTGAAGAAAGCAAAACATCCTACTGAATCAGTTATTCCCTGACCTTTCTCTGATAGAAAGACTGTTTACCAGGACCAGCCTTCACACAATCTAAATAAGATGCTTAGTGTTATAAAGATGAAACATGTCGAAAATATTATGGTTTGTCAACATCCCTCGGACGAATGAAATCTCATACCACCTAATATCCTTTCAGATCCCCTCAAGCTCCATTCACATGGCTGTTTGGAGATTCTAATGTATCAGATCAGCCTTTCTTTCAAGTGAGTTGCTTCTTGAAGGTCACACACGTGGTAGTATGATTTAACACTCAGTCATGCTTAAAAGGAAATCTAGAATTAGTTGTATGAGAATGATTAGGACTTTATCAGTCAGAAATGTAACCCCCAAATTCCTTCGGTTGCAATTCATTGACTGTTGTGTTTATATCACGGTGGGGAATGATATCATTTGCATTGCCTGTAATGCAAACACCTGGCTGACCTAAGAGATTAAGCTATCTCAGGCTGCACTCATAAATATCATCAAGGCTATATAGTAATGATGGATAGTGGCTAACAGTGGAATCCAAGATGGGCATTTCACCCTGTTTGTGACTCGTCAGCTGGATTTACCTGCCTCCCAGTGAATGATGTTATACCCACCGGGATTCGGAACGATAGCTTCGAACGCGAAAGCGTTATCCACTACACCACCGAGCCACGATAGCTACTGTTTGTGCGATGGGTACAGTTTAAGTATAATTGCTTGTATTACACCATCGTTGACTGAACAGAATTGATCCGTCTCTGTTGGCATATGGGCTCCTGTGTTGATGCTTCGATACTGCCTGTGTTTTTAACTGCATAGTTGTGATGGATAGTGTCTAGCAGTGGAATCCAGGCTGCACATTTTGTCTTATTTAGGACGAGTCCGAATCCCGGTTGGGACAACACTCGCTGGGAGGCAGGTACATCCAGCTGATGAGTCATGAATAGGACGAAAAGCGCATCGTGGATTCCACTGCTAGACACTATCCATCACTACTATGCAGTTAAAAACACAGGCAGTATCGAAGCATCAACACAGGAGCCCATATGCCAACAGAGACGGATCAATTCTGTTCAGTCAACGATGGTGTAATACAAGCAATTATACTAAAACTGTACTCGTCGCACAAACAGTAGCTATCGTGGCCTGTTGGCTAGATGCAATCAGTAATTAGATCACTTCCTCTTCCTCAAAATTCATCAACAAAGTATATCTGAAAGCTCAAGCAAAACTGATGTTTCTTTTGAGATTTGAAATCTCCTTTAACTAGTGGTAGCAGTTGAGCAAATACATATTCACTTATTTAACGGTTTGATTGAGCACCACCAGTTAGTGTCATCTTGGGAACATCAGTTTTCAATTTGGAGGTTTATGGAGATTTATTAATTGATTTTAGGTTGGAATTTATCACGGATTGACATCAGCTGGAGGGACATTGGAAACTTGGGGGTACTGGACAGCTGTTTCGTCATAGTCTGGGACCCCGCAGGTGATCAAATCCAGAACCTAAAGGTTCCACGGCCAGCATGTTACCATCGAGCCACTTAGTCGAAATCCATGATGAATCCCAACCTGAAATCGATTACCAAGTCTCCACAAACCTCCAGACTGAACTAATCTAGCACTCATTGGTGACCAGCTTTGAGAAGTGATTCCCGAAGTTCCAATGAGAAGTCGTGACCAGTGGAATCAACCAAGTCGAACATGAGGACAGTTACTCAATGACGACACCGAGTGTATGTTATACTATATCGTGAACTGACAGAAGTAGGAAATGTAGACCACTGGATTCTGACCCAGTGGCTCAACGGTAACATGCTGGACACGGAATTTGAAGGCCCTAGGTTCAATCCCTAGCGAGCGGGATAATGGGTACATGCTGCTGAGTAATCCCATGCTAGGACGAAACAACTGCTCAGTGCTCTCAGGTTTCCAATATTCCTCCAACCTATGTCAGTCCATGATAAGTTCCAACCTCAGTTGCACATGAAACCAAGTGATGATTGTAATCAGTAAAACCTAGACCAGGCAGAACCTTCTGCAAATCAACCATAACTACGTGATTTTAAGTTGGTACTCATCTTGGACTGACATTAGTTAGAGGAACGCTGGAAACCTGGGAATACTTGGAAGCTTTTTCGTCCTAGCATGAGACTCCACAGTGCGCACCCGTGACCCCGCCAGGGGTCGAACCTGAAACCTACAGGTTCTGTGAAATGACAGAAGTTGGAAGTATGGACTAGTGGTTCAATGGTGATGTGCTGGTCAAAAGAACCTGAAGGTCGCGGGTTCGACCCCCGGCGGGGTCACGGGTGCGCACTGTGGAGTCTCATGCTAGGACGAAGCGGCTGTCCAGTGCTCTCAGATTCCCAATGTTCCTAAAACTGATGTCAGTCCACAATGAATACCAACTTGAAAAAATCTCCAAATCCCCACAAAACCCCCTAAATTAAATTACCTTAATATAATTGCCCTAGATTTGTAAAGACAAGCTGGACTTCTTCTTAGTGTATTGTTCTAAGGTTGAAACTGTCGAATGTCTCAGTGCGTGAATAAATATACCAGTTAAAACGTGTATATTCATAAAACAGGTAACAAAATGAAGAAAACGAAGTTTACACAGTGCAAAGAATTCCTTTCTTTATCTACATTTTGATGATTTGGAATCATTTCTTCCAGAATGTAAACATTACTGTCTGAAACTGCAAAGAACTGACACATACGACAAGAATTTCTTTCAGTCATCACAATCTTTTGTATTTTTCATCTTGTACTCAACAACTAAGCACAAGTATTATTTCGCTACTTAAGCATAGATATTACTGAAAACACCGTAAGAATTACTATGATTTAATAACGCCAAATTTAGGTGTTTGGAAAGTTTGAAGTCATGTTTTACTTAAGTAACGTTTATTTGGTATTGGATAAAGCAGTTGGAGTCGATTGGAATGATAATGGCATACAAACTTAAAGCCTTTATTGGACAGAATCAACTAGTTATTCAAACCACATCAGACCTTCTTTAAAACTGGTTTACTAAGGCAAATTGGGTGGTGGGTGGCAACCACTGTAGTTAATTAGTCTGTATTGCTAGTCTAGGTTTATCTATAAAGTTCACAACGTGGATACCTAGTTAGGTAATACGATACTGTGGTACAATGTGTTTGGTGTTACGCTTTATGATCTAATCGGTATGATAGCTCTTGTTCACCAGAATTTTTATATTGACCTCCAAACTCGATCTCTGCTAAACTTGATCCTAAGATAAGTGTTGCTAAACTCTCATATTTCCTCATAGAGATTTTGTGCAAGGAATTCGATTATAGCACCACATTTACTCGCTTTTTTATTCTAACCTGTCGACAAAAGATTTGCCTCTAAGATAAAACGAAGTCCCATTTTCATTCCAACTGCCTTTGACTTAATGTGAATGTTGAACCTCAGAACTTCGGCGAAGTTTAATTTCATCTTAGTTCATTTAAATATCGAATTATCTGAGAGTCTAGCAACTTCTGTGTGAATACTGTATGTAGCTGAACAGGTACATACCGATGTTCAGCTGTCAACTGACGCACAAAACTATGGAAGTAAATATTTCAAGCCCAACAAAAACATCACCTAATTTAAAAGCGGCTAAATCGAATTTTTAGAAAGTAAGATTTCACACACTGTTCTAGCTGAGTAATGACCACTATATCCCTTCTATAAAGCTTCTGCATCACTTATCTACGCTGAAAATAAGATTCTACACAAATTATCTTACGTGATTATCTGCTGAAGTGGTTTAGAATAAAGTTGGTAATTACCTCAGTAACTTCATATATTACAATTTTCTGAGGACAGTTGAACTACATAATAATTCATTTTCTATGTTAACTAGAAAATGAATTTCCGAAATTCTATTCTCGTGGAAGCAAGTGAATAATCAATGAGACTGCTATTTTGTGTAAACTTAGATAAAGTTAAGTAAGGACACCTCAGGTCATAAGGTACGAAATCTCTCCTCACTTTTAGAAGCGATAAATGCTCTGTTAAACTTAATTATATCTGTTCTGATTAAAGCTAAGCATTATAATTTGGATACCCTAGATACACTTATAATGGCATCTACTTGCTTTACTTTCCAACTGCAGTCACTTTTGGAAGCGAAAGTTACATACAACAAAATACGTAGTGCTCATAAAATACACTTCCCTGACTTTTCGCAAGACTGTCTATGGAATACACCTGCGCCAGACTTTAGTTTGTACAAATGGAACAGTCGTGAATCTATGAAGCCTAAAAGTAAAGAATCCCAAAAGCGGGAAGGCAAAAATACTGAAAACTGGAGTGTGGAATCAAATGACTATTCGTTAAACAGAGAAATTCATCCGAAACTGAAATTTATCAGAGCTATCAGACCTTTTACCGCAAAAATTTTGTTTGTCAGATGTGGATCTTTTAAACCGGGTCCTTATACAA